AATATAATTGTGGTTTATCTGTGTTTTGTGGCTCATTTTGTTCTGAAGTTTACAGCCGCTGTTCTCACATGAGCTCTGCATGCGTCTCGACCGACTTTGTAATCGGATCTCACTTTCCCAGACTTTATTTAAATAAGCCTGTAAATCACTTCTGAATGCAGAAGCTGGCAAACATTAAAAGGAGAAGGAGAAATTAAAAGCTATTGGCGCATTTCAGGGTAATCAAACCACCAAAGATATAGGTAATGAATGCCATAATGCTTGGAATAAATTAATAATATCTATAATTAAATATTTCAATAAATGTGTCATTTTATTTCCAAATAATTCCATAAACGGTATTATATTGGGCAAAAGGTTCAGTCTGTAATCCATTATGTTGGTTGCCATATGATAATCAAATCAAAATCAAATAGGCTTTTATTGTCAATTCCCTATATGTTCATAACATACAAGGGAATCAAAATGCTGGTCCTCTCTCGCGTTTGTAATACAGTATAAAAAAAGAAGTATAAAGTATAAACGTATGACAAGATAAATACGATAAAACTAAAATAAGTGAAACTCTATAAAGTATATAGTACAATATACAGTCAGTAATGCAAAAACAGCATAAATAATAATTTGGCTTTTAATCATAACCAGTGAAGCTCAACGTTTGTGAAAATTTCAACGAAGAGGTTTATTGTTTTGTCTGATATGCTGAATTGTATGTCTGACTTGGAGCAGGTGAAGTAAAAGAAGTAAAGTAGTCAGGACCAGAGTGGGAATGAATTTCTGACTGGGAGTTCAGGCCAGTATGAAACGACATAAACAATTACACCATTATTATAAATGTTTCTATTGACATCCATTTTCTAGGCTATTGTACACACATTAACTGCACGCTTTAATTTTACGTTCATTTTTACGTTTTATCGGCACAGTTCAAAAGCGTGAAGCAGCTTTGACAGAAATTAAGGAGCATCATCAAAGTGCATTAAATTTATGATCTCTGCAAATTTCAAAATATCTTTAATAAATTACTTTTCACAATTTATAATTTTATTTTCCCAAATTTGCATGGAACATTAGTGATGCACACTTTGGCAAGGTTCCCATGCGAATGGGTCGCGACGGTGCGATATTAAACTTCCCAGCAGATTAAAAGTTATTTTGTGGTGTTGTAGATACGATTTGTTATTCATAATGCAGTTTACTACACAGTAGCCCATGCTGCACTGACAGACGTCCTGGTATAAATCACGTGTTAAATACCGCTCGCGTGTTTAATGCATACGTACGTGCTTCTGCACACGTGAGGATATTAGCTGAGTAGGCGGTCCTTCAATGCAGCCCCTGACATGTTCACACTGCTATAAGAATGTGAAAATGTGGTGTGAGCGATTTGCGTTCAATGCGTTTTGGGTGCGTTCACGCCTGTAATTAGTGCTGCCCACTTGTGATCAGATCGCTCAGGACGCCATATTATTACCAGGTGTGAACAGGGTCTCATAGACAGTGTGGCGCGTTTGAGAGAAATGAAACAAAGATGAGTAAGGAGGACAAAAGCAAACAAGAACTGGTCACCAAAGTCGTTCCTTTTCCACTGCATGGATATATTTTGGATTCCAGAGACCACATTAACCAAACACAACTTAAGTCATGTTCTGTGAAATTTGTTTTTAATAAAATTTTCACATATAAGTGTATTTTCAGTATACCAGTAGGGACTTTATGGTGAGTTCCAGAATTTAGTTATTGGACTTAACCTGAATGTGACTGTTAGTAGTCCTGCTGCTCTTAGTAATGTGAGGAATGTTCTGGAGCCACAGGCCTGCCACCCATGGACTCTGGCTTTGCTTTTACACAGGGAGGTGGCCAGGAATGCATCCCTGCGCTGGGGGCCCTTCCTGCACTGGACGGCGCTGGGCATCTACCAAGGCCTACTGTTCTTCTTTGGTGTCCACTGTCTGTTCAGAAACCCTGCCCTGCAGGACAACGGCCAGGTGAGCTGCATGGAGCAGCCGCTCCTGGCCGCTCACCCGCTCCTGGCCGCTCAGTCCTGCATGTGGTCATTCTGTGTTTCCTCTCTTGCCTTTTTCAGGTGTATGGGAACTGGTCCTTTGGCACGATAGTCTTCACAGTCATGGTGTTTACAGTTACCCTCAAGGTAGGGTTGTTAGGCTTAAGGCTGCCACATATTGACTGTGTGGCAGAGAGGGCTCTGCATCTGAATATATAGGGCCCTCAACAGCACCTCCATGCTTTTGCTGTGTCCCTGCAGTTGGCCCTGGACACGCGTCACTGGACTTGGATCAACCACCTTGTCATCTGGGGCTCCCTGGCCTTCTACGTGTTCTTCAGCTTTTTCTGGGGTGGCATCATCTGGTGAGGAAGATCTCTGTTTCACCTTGAAGTTGCAGAGCCTTGATATGCTGCTCCCAAACATTCTGTACTGACTGAACCCCCCCACAGGCCCTTCCTCAAGCAGCAGCGGCTCTACTTCGTCTTTGCCAACCTGCTGAGCTCCGTGTCGGCCTGGCTGGTCATCATCCTGCTCATCCTGCTCAGCCTGCTGCCTGAAGTTCTCTTGGTGGTGCTGCGCAAGCCCAGAGCCTCCCACATACAACAGGTATTCTCACTCTACACTACTCTAACTCTCCACTCTACCCTACCTTACCATACCGTATTGTACTCTACTCTCCACCTTGTCCTACCCAACTCTACAGTACTTTACTCTGCTCTACTCTCCACCATATCCTACCCTACTCTCCACCCTACCCTTCTCTACCCTACTGTACTTCACTCTGTCCTACTCTCCACCCTATCCTCCTCCACCCTACCTTACCCCACTCTCTCCATCACGTTATGCACCTGTATCCCATACCTGTTCCACCATACATCTCCACACTTCTCCATAACCTCCTCTCTTCTCACGACCCCATCTCTACCTTCACCTTGCTCTTTCCTTCTTTGGCACCATAGCTCATGTTTATGTATCATCAAAAAGTTACCATGAAACTCAGTATTCGCAGCTACTATCAAGCCAGGGTACCTGTATGTATGTGTGAACAAGCCATTTCTCACTTGATTTGTGTGGACTTTTGGTGAATGTTGAGACTCCTTCCGTGCAGCTTACTGGCATATCATACGTATTCAGGTTGCAGGTTACCGCTCATACTTGAACTCTTTGCTGCTTGCTTTAGTGACATTACTCAGCTGTGGTCCTGCTTGGGGACGCTCTGGTCCTGCTTGGGGACACTCTGGTCCTGCTTGGGGACACTCTGCTCCTGCGGTGACCCCTGTGATTTTTCTGCCCTCTCTCTGCTCCCACGGTGACCTTGCCCTCCATCTGTCGGTGTGACCCCTGTGATTTTTCTGCCCCCTCTGTGCTACGCTGCTCCAGATGAAGAGGCGCCTTCCGTCCTCGGGGATGTCCACTGTCTTCATGCTGTCTCAGACCGCCAGCACTCACAGCTTCTCCTGGAGTGACTGAGGTCTCTCCTTCTGCTCTGCCTGCCCACTGCTTTGCTTGCATGCTTCCTGACCTGTCTCACTGATCTGGGACCAGCTGCTGTGTGCTGATGGGGCAGCTGTCAATGAGGTTGCGATTACACGACACTTGGAAGCCATTGTTTTGTTTTGGTCCCAGTATCAAACTCAAATGGGACGTGATGTGTGGAACCTCTGTTTACATCATTGCACGTGCAGGGACAGACTTGAGCCCCCCCCCCCCCACCCCTTGGATGCTTCAGTCATCTGAGCATGTCAGTCCCAGGGGGTGGGGGAGTGGCTGGCCCGCATGTCCAACCCGTGCATGTGGGGGGTGCCATGTGTCTGCCTGCTTAAGCTGTCTGCTCAGTCGCTCAGGGTCGCCCTCTCTGTCTCCTCCATGGCACGTCCAGAGGAAGCCGGGCGCTCCATCCTCATCCAGGCCACTGCTCATGAGAACATTTTCAGAGGAGTCCAATACTGTCACATGACCAGGTACCTGACCTCCCCGGCCCCCCCTCGGCGTACCTGACCTCCCTGGCCCCCCCATCCAGGTGCCTGACCTCCCCGGCCCCCCCTTCCAGGTGCCTGACCTCCCCAGCCCCCCCTTCCAGGTACCAGTCCAGTGGCCTACATGGCACCTGCTGGGTTACTAGCCTGCCTGTCCGCCCCTATCCCACCACCACCCCGTAAATCATATTTCCCCAAACACTCCCCCTGGTGGTCTCGTGATGGTAATAAGCCACACTGGAGTACAGGGCATTTTCACTACTGTGGTAAACGCCCCAGACGCCCCATCTCAATAAGGAGACCCCCCCATCTCAATAAGGAGACCCCCCTGTGCCCCTGCATGCCCTGGTGTGTGTGTGTGTGCAGGTGTATATGTAATGTATGAATGTGTCTGAGTGAGTGAGTGTACTGTACGTGTTCCGAGGGTTTAAAGCTTAAGTGCTTAGTGTGGGTTCGGCTTTGACAGCACCACTGGGCACGGCTGCATGTATGAATGCATAAGAGTGAGCCCCGCCCCCCTCCCCCCGCATGTGTGCACGGTTCTGCTGCTGCTGCACGGCCTGTTCTGGGCATGTCCTCTTGGGCTGGCACAGGATCTGGTGCCAAATGGCCGCTCAAACTGCCTGTTTTGTCCCCACAGCTGAAGATGCGTTCCTCGGCCCGGAAACATCGAGGTAAGAGCTAAGTGTGTCGTCGTCCCCCCCCCCCGTTTCTTTGTGCTGTTGGGGGCCAAATTTCAGCTTAGGTCCTCATGTCAGACGTGGTGGGTGGGGGATGTAAAAGAGGACAAAACAGAAGTGGTTGTGTGCAACTCAGTGGGTTATGGACTCTGTGCCTGTGATTGGAAGGTTGACAGTTCAAATCCCAGGGACAGCATGATGATGTCACTTTTGGGCCCTTGAGCAAGGCCCATAACCCACAGTTGCTCCAAGCACTGTCTGACCCTGCTTTTTCAAATAATGTACATCACTGTGGACACGTCTGCTAAATAAATGCTCACTGTTAATGAATAATATTTCTCTTCCCCTAGACTTCCTTAGTAACACTGGTGTCATATAAGGACCAGAATGAGCATGAGCGTCCCACTGGGGCGGACCTATGGAGAGCCAGCAAAAGGACCCCACTTCACATGTGCCAGCTGTCCGTGACACTGCCTGAATTGAAATTCTTACAAATGTAATGACATAAATAAGCAAGATGTCATTGCTACTCAAACCCCCAGTGTCCCCCAAGGATCAGCCCTCTGCATGTGCTGCCCCGTTCACCACCACCATCCCATGATGCATTGCCTGCATGTATGCAAGGTTATATGGTCTTGTCTCCCTGCTATGAGGGTACTGCTATGTGAGTTTATATGAGCAAATGAAAGATGAAGCGCCACATGGAGAAAGAGCATTATGCTGCCTTTTGGCGCCCCCTGCTGGGCTGGAGAATAGATGTCCCTCCATTATACTGATTCTCTTTTGCTTTCCCTTGAAGTGTCTGTTTTCTGAGACTTAGGAAAGATGTATATCAAGAATGTCTTTATATGCTGATTTCCAAAGTGGCATGAAAATGTTGCTTTTTGAGTGAAAGTGCAGATTTGTGTCCAAGGGCATAAGTTTGGTTTCAACACTGGTTGGGACAAAATCAGCCCTGAATCCCTACCAGAGGTGGATATTTCAGGTCCAGAAAGTAAAAATCCTAACCAGGAGTTTAGATTGAGTATAAAGTCACAGTCACAGAAAACTCAACTGGTTGGTTGAAACAAAATCTTTGTCTGGATTTTTACTTTCTGGACCTGAAATGTCCGCCTCTGACCCCTACCCCCCTAAACACACATGGACTCCTGCAGGATTGGTAGGGACGTGTCCCTACTGTCCTTACCGTAATCTGCACCCTTGTTTGTCTGTCGTAACCTCCTCTTAATGGAAGGCTGAGAATGTTCAGATAAGTAGCGTGTAAAGGCACAGAATTGTTTTTGGTTCAGGCCATAGTATTTCTCAATATGTGTTTTTAATGACCAGTACTCAATACATTCCTGTTTTTGTACATGGAAGCATGAGAACATAGCCTGTGATTTTGGGGATTGTTAGCCAATCACGGGGTGTGAATTCAGCCTTCTCCCGTTTGACCTAAATTCCTGCTTAAAACCGTTGAGTCTTTCCAAGGAAATCTGCTATTGCAAAAGTTTGCGGGAAGTGATGCCAAGTGGATTGAATCCTGTGTGTGTGTGTGTGTGTGTGTTTGGGGGTGTTGTGTGTGGATGGTTTAGGTCTGGACAGCAGGGGGCGCCTCTGAATTAGCTGTACCTCCACACCCTGAAGATAATGGTGAGGGAGCCTTTAGCCAACAGCTTGTAATTGTTTAAATTTTAATTGGCTTTTTAAATGATTAATTAGTGGATGACATTAAGTGCAGGTTTTTGATGACCTCCTGGGTTGGTTCTTACATAGATACCTCGAAGGCAGTGCTGGACTCAGAATACAGACTACACTGGGATCAGGTGGGGCTCTGCATCTGGGGGCCCTCCAGCTAATTTGTATGATGAAAACACACATTTTTACAGGGTGCAATACTTTGTGTAATTACAGCATCTACAACTATGATGTATTTTTGAACAGCTTTTTTTCTGACTTTACATCCCTATTTAAATGTTTAATTCTTAAAGAGGCATGATGGACAATGCCGCCTCCAATCTGCACTGAGCCTGTGCCGCTGGCCCCGCCCTCTGCTCTGAGCCACTGATGTGAATGTACCCTTTAAGGACCACAAGATGCAAATTTCAAAGACTGTTTCTATAATAAAAATACCAAAAATAATGTATGTGTGTCACGTTCAGTCTCTGACATCTGTGTATCTTCTGTGTGTACAGTTCGGAGTTGGGAGATGATGGATGGATGGATGGATGGATGAATAGGTAGATAAACCTTACTAGTCCCAAATGGAATTATAGGTTTACAGTAGAGCAGTAAACACGTTTAGAGAATAAAAAATAAAAGAAATCCTTTTTATCAACCATATGTGACATATATGTATCTGTAGTAATATGAGCCCTGTGTATGACAGAGTGTGTCAGAAATCATGGGGGGTGGGTTGGGGGGTTTCTCAGTGCTACATTTTCCGCCCGTGACCCTGACAGTATAAGCAGCTGGAAGATGGATGAATGGCTTATGTATTCCCCTGTGACCCCGTCCAGCGTAAGTGGTTCAAAGACAGAGGGTTGGTCTACAAGCCATTAGGGGGCGGGGCTTCACAGGACATGGCAAACCAGCAGAGGGGCCGTGCTGTGCGCTGCGCTGTAGGCAGTGCTGAGCAGACGCACCGAGACCGAGGGGAGGGGGGAGGGAGAGAGGGAGGGGCCGGCTTGGTCAGAAACAGGCGTCCGGTGGAGCTCACGGTTAGCCGGACCGCTAGCTGGACCCCCCCGGCCCATGCGGGAGCTGCTCATCACTACGGGGGCAGACTCGTTCGTGCTGTCTCGCGGAAGTGAGACCCGTGTTTGTGAGCCGTCGCCGGCCCAAGGTGACTCCCCGGCCGCTCTGAGTCGGGCACCAAACTCCAACCCAGCAGACTGACGGGGGGAGGGACATGGGCCCAGAATCCCCCCCCGAATCTGGCAGCACCCGCATCCCACGGAGACATGGACGGCTACTACAGCCTTCTGAAGGCAGGGTCCCAGCTGGAGAACACCCTGCAGCGTGAGTAACTCCCACCCCCCCACTCCGGCTGCCAGCTTTACACACATGCACATGACATTACCCATCATCCTCCTGTCTTCTGCATGCCAGAGAGACCAGCGGCTGAGACTTCCTGTCTGTGTCCTTCCGTGTCCGTGTTTGTATCCATGTTGCCGTTAATCTGGTGTTGTGGAGCTACACAGTAGCTGTTTATGTGTCTGGATACGAACCTCCCATACTCATTCGTGTTCGGAGTCTCCGTTCGTGTGGATGTCAGTCTGGCGTCTCCTTGTAATGCTCCCGCCCTTCACTCGACCTGTGACGCAGGAGTTTGACCCCCCCTCCAGGCACACTCCCTGTTAGTGGTTAATGAATGCCTGAGCGATGGCCCATCTGCTTGGCAAGGAGGTCATGGAGGAAACGGCTGCCACTGGCCAAGTTCTACCCAGCAGGTGTTAGCTGTGTGGGGTATTCCCTCACATCCACGGTCCAGGCTTCCAGGGAACATACTATATCTACACGGTTTTGTTTTCCCAGCACATGCAGTACAACATCATTTCCCATCTGGGATTTGGTCATGCAGACCTAAAAGACTGCAGTATTGGTTGGTAGTGGCTTTGTTTATGCCCCCCCCCCCCCAAGGCCTTTAGTCTGGTTACATCCTAATAGCATCTCCTTTATCCACTGCTCCACACTGACTGTGCTGGTCTGGCTGCCAGGTTGCATGTGCAACTTCTCCACATGTTAACTTACACCAGTCCTGTCCTGTCTCTACCTGGAATCGTACCCAACCTAACCTGTCCCACCTTTAAGACTCGTTACCCTGCCTTGACTCTGTGGTACTGTCTGGTGCCCTATATCAGAACACACACAGGTGTTTCCTTGACAGTGTGATGGAAACCTGTGTCATCATTGGTCAGCAGCAGTGTGAGGTGGCAAACCCGCATTGGTCGAGGAAAATGTTTGCTTCCTTAGCTAGAACGTGAAATCCATTGTGATAATTTACAGTAACTTTATACATCTTTATATTTCACTGTGAGTGATCCAGGATCCACATGCTTCTCACAACATGTGAGCCATGTTTGTAGTTCCTAAGGTACAGTGCTCTTCTAGAACCCACTTGTGTTAATCTATATCCTAGAGATCATCCACACACTGTAATACAAGCAGTCATCGACGCATTGTTCCCCTGGAGGTCATCCACACACTGTTCCCCTAGAGACCATCCGCACACTGTTCCCCTGGAGGTCATCCGCACACTGTTCCCCTAGAGACCATCCGCACACTGTTCCCCTGGAGGTCATCCGCACACTGTTCCCCTAGAGACCATCCGCACACTGTTCCCCTGGAGGTCATCCGCACACTGTTCCCCAAGAGGTCATTCACACACCATAATGCATTCTCATACACACTACAGCACCATTTCTGTTTCACTCACTGGCAGAAATCCAGACTTCCAAATAGGAATCCTCATTGTCCATCCTGCTGAAGAAGGGTTCTGCTCTTGCAGTAATTAATACTCCCTCTGCAGTCCCAGTCTGCAGATGGCAAGGGAGGGAATGTGGAAAGGATAACATCACAGTGAACTGTAGCAGAACAGGCTCCCTTACTGCACCATGGGCATCTGTAGTTATGCCTATTAACTGACGGACAGTCTGTTTAACTGCGAAAATTTCACCAGTTCAAAAAAGTTTATATTTGTTTGGTAAAGCTTTTTTTCTACACTTTCAATTAACGTTTCTGACACACAGGAGGCAATGGCAGCATGGCGATGTATCCAGGTAAACGACTTCCTGCCATGACGTGAAATTAGGCCTGTGTATGCCTCGAGAATTGCTGTGTCATGTTATGAATATTCTTTTAAATCAACGCATGTATGTGGCACATAACTGAATCGTCAGCATACTTTGATCATAAATTCCAAAGCATTTTTGTTGCAATCTACTGTTTCAAATGAATGATTATTTTTCTGGAAGGAGTTAAAAATATAGACATGACGCTTTTTAATGAGTTGGTATGGTATGAACACTAGGTGGCAGTGTTGATTCAAAGCCCAAAACTGTCTCAGTCATCATCGTTTACAATGACAACAAGGTGACCCTGTGGACATGAAGTAGGGCTCCCTCCCATAGCTTAAGCTAAGGATAAATCTTCCTTCATTTCTTCATTTCCATTTTATTCATTTCCCGACAGAGGTGACTGTCCCCATGAGTGTGAACGAAGTGGGTGGATACATCGAGAAGCAGGTGGCCTACCTTTCAGGTGAGATAGGGTTAGTTTGCACAGCCAAAGGGCTCCAACAGGGACTGGACCTCCTGCCTTCTGTGCAAGTGGCTGGACCAGAGTGGCATCACCCACAATAGTTAAAAATAAGACTTTGATTTTAATCACTCAGCTTTCCTTTTGCTTCCTTGTAGTTGCACAGGCTGCCGTAATGACAGAAGCAGAAGACAGAAAGAAAATACAGGAAATGAGGAGGGGTGGGGAAATGAGTGGGGAAGTGAAAGGGGGAGGAAGTAAGGGGCACAGTGAGAGTAAATGAGTGAAATGAAGAAGCAATGCATTCACAAGGAGGCAGCAGGGAAACAAGGAGGAAATTAGTAGGAAACAGGGCACCCACAAGGAGGCAGCAGGGAAACAAGGAGGAAATTATGAGAAAAGGGGGCATCCACAGGGAAATGAGGAGGAAACAGGGTATTCACAGGAAGGAAACAATGAGAAAATGAGGAGGAAAAAGGGCACTCACAGGGAGAACACAGGGAAACAATGAGGAAATTAGGAACGGGGTATTCACAGGGGAAAAAAAACCAACAAAAAATGAGGAAATGAGGAGGAAACAGGGTACTCAGGGAGAAAATAGGGAAACAATGAGAAAATGAGGAGGGAAAGGGCATTCACATGGAGAACACAGGGAAACAAGGAGTAAATTAGGAAGAAAAGAGTTATTCACATGGAATCAACAGGGAAACAAGGCGCAAATAAGAAGGAAACACGGCACTCAGAGGGACACAACAGTGAAACAAGGAGGAAGTGAGGAGGAAACAAATCACTTACAGGGAACTTCTGAGGGGCGCCTATTTAGCCAGCTGATTTCACTTGTGTACAACAGGGACAGCACAAGACAAAGTGAAATTGGCTGGCTCATGCCTTCTGCAGTGCAGCACAGAACAACTGTGGGATGTGGGACACCAACTTCTGGAGAGAGTGCCAACTTGCCTGCCAGTTTCACTTTGCCTTGGACAGGGGCACCATGATGTCGCAATGTGGGGGGAGGGGTAGGTTGTTAAGGTTAGGGTTAGCACAGTGTAACAAAAAAACGTAACCAAACGACCAAAAATTCAAAATGAGCAACGATTTTTAATAGACCCTTTAAATGTTTTTGTTTTTGTTAATCATGATTAATCGCATACACACGCACTTGGTGTACCACAAAAAAGCTCATGTACATCGATTAGTAGTGCATTACACTCACAATGCAACGGTCATGGCTTCAGGTCCCTGGAAGAACGCCTAAATTGTAACCCTCTAGTGTAAGATCTGAGACTAATTTTTACTAATTCCATTCTCCCATTGGGGAATCAAAATTAACGCAGTTCAAAGGAATAAAAAAAGTGCTATGACTTCAAAGCAACTATTTCATAAACTTTAGATGTCATTCACGCAGAGTAGCTGACAGTACATTCGCCACCTGCAACCCGTCTTGTTAGGCTGCACCTTTAATACTCTTGCAGCGAGTGACTTGGAGGGGGGCGTGGAAAAGGCTATCAGACGTCTGTTCAGTTAGTATCTTCTGTTATGAACATACGGATTGTGGCTGAATAGGTTTTTTTTTTCTAGGGGGACGTGGGGAAGACTCCAGCGTGATCATCACCCTCCCAGAATGCTCTGCGTTCAGCGACATTCCCGAAGAGGCTCTGGCTAAAGTGCTGACTTATCTCACGCTGATCCCTCGGTGTGTGAGATGCTCGCTCCACGGACACGTCTTTGCCCGTGATCCCCGCGCCCTCCCCCTCTCTCCCTGCATTGCGGTCTATTCTGTATGCTACACACGCAAACCGACTTGACTTTTGACTTAATAATAAGATCGCTTAATAATAATAATAATAATAATAATAATAATAATAATAATAATAATAATAATAAACGATCAGTCAGGGACGTTACTATAGCTTAAAAAAAATCAGGGGCTACGTGAAGTTTACCGGGGGGTAAAATACTTTGGGCTAGACTGAAAATACTCGAGGCTATAGTCCCGAATCATCCGCCTCAACGACGCCTATGCTGTCAGTTATGTCCAGAATCAGCAATGCAGTTTACGTAAAGTGTAGCTTAATTCGTTAACACTTCACACTTAATGTCATTTGAATTTTCTTTTAGACACCTTTGGTAACTCTGAGTCTTTCGATTTGCTGTTAACGCGCAGCTTATCATATGTAATTAACGTAATATCATTCATGGCCATGTGCAGAAGGCGGCAGCCCGGGGTGAAGTTCATCATCATCCTGGATCGCAGGCTGGACACCTGGAGCGCCATTAAAACGGCCTTGGCGCGGATCGCGGTGAGCTTCTCTCGGCCGGTGTTCTGACGAGTTGAGCTACCTATCGAGACGTACTATCGAGCCTTTTTGCGCATGTGCAGTTCCACCGTTTTGGGGGTTAGGGTTAGGTTTTAGGGGTTTGGGTTAGGGTAAGGGTTTTGGGGTTTCTTGGGGGTTTAGGGTTTGAGTTAGGGTTAGGTCTATCGATTAGTGCTAATCGATAGACCTATAGTCTATCTCGACAAAGTAGCTCAACTCGACAGAACACCGGCTGTCACAAACATGCGGCTCATTCTCCCGGGGTTTTCAGAAAAGCTGCGCTCCCTTTTCGATTATTTCTGAATGTTTCTGCAAACTATTGCAGGGAATCAATATAATATGAATCCGGGGTTTTACTTGATGTTTTGACGATTCATTCGTGTTGTGGTTTTCACTCGCGAGTGTTTAATTTAACTCTCCTTCATTGTCATGCATTTCTAGTAACATATTAAGCCTTTTTTTCTACGGACCCTGTTCATTTTAAAGGCAGCGCATCGCTGTACATACAGCGCTGTCTATATAGCTCTGCCTTTCTGTCGGCGCTGGGGGTCTGTTATCCGCAGTGACAGTGGGCATCCCGTAAAGGTGACGCCGCACCTGCGCTGGATGACGTAGCTTTGCCGGCTCGGGGGGGGGGGGGCTCACACCCGCATAAGCGCTGCGGCGCCGAAACAGGAGCCGGCCGGGGGCACAAAGCGGGGAGCGAAGCCATGGCGGAGACCCGCAGCCGGAGGCGGAGGACCGCGGTAATGTGCCATTGCATCTCGGTTCGCTTTAAGCGGTTCGGTTTGTGTTGGTATTGAGACGCTGGACCGGGGCAATGCTGGTGCAGCGGGATCTCAATGTCACAGCTGTGCGATGTTTGCGGCTGCAAGCCTCCGCTCTTTTCCATTAACATGGGAGCAAATTTATAGGGCTTTAGATGCGGATTAGAGAATTAGAGAATAAGTAGAAGTACCCGCTTGTTTCACTCGGTAGAATATATGTGCACAAATACTTTTGATACAGAGCTTTACCATGTTAATAATAATAATGTCTCTAAATTGCAAACTTATGAATAGTTTGTATCATTTAATCTTTGTAACTGAGTCTGACTTTGCTGGTATTTTTGTTTTTATATCACAATAATAAATACAGCGATAAACGGACGAAATAAAACTGGAACATTAGCACTAACGAAGTAATTTGAATGTTTGTGTGCTTGATCTATGATACTCTTATTTTATGAATTAAAAATTGGCTGATGGTATTGCAGTGGGCGGATATTTAATAGCAGATGTCGGTGATAACTTAAGATGATTCGCAGATGTGTGTGTTTGCAGACATCGATGTTGTGCAGTAGGCTGTGCCCTGTCCCTCCTGAACAGGAAAGGACAGGACTTGACATGGTACTGTTAGGGGTGGTGGGTGGTCTTGCTACAGATGCAGATACACCCCTTAGAGGGTAATGATCTTCTGTGTAGGGCTCATCTTCAGGTGAGCCACTTCAGACTGGCTTGTGACTGCAGGAACCTGAGCTGATATACCAGGTACAGCAAATATAGAACCGCGTGTCATGTGTGGCGAGAATCTGCACATGTCTGTCTGTCCTCAGACAGGCGTGAACTTTATTACTAATGCAAAGCATGTCAGACCTTCAGGGACCCAGTGGAGACAACATTCAGTGGAGAAACAACATATTTGCCACAAAATCAATTTTTCTTTTATTTTTTTGCCTGAAATAAACAGTGAAAACTGGCCGGTATCTTCATAAATAATGGAAAGACTGAAAATATGAAGCAGGACTTTTCGGTGTTTTGCTGGTGAAATGTTAGAGCAGAAATCGCTGGCTGTCTTTGTTTTCGAGATGCCGATATTTGAAATCTACTCAAGCTGTTGGGTTTGGAAGGACAGCAATGTAGATTTTGAACAATGGGAAGTACTTGCAACCCATTTGCAGCTGCTGTTGATGTTGCTAGTGTAAATGCCCAAGGTTCATTTCTTCTGAACACCATAGGAAATTTTTATAATACACACTTTTCCCTTAAAATGTGTAATTTTGGAGCTGATCTTGTGGCTACAGTGTAAGAGCTACCCATTCACATCAGATTAGCGGAGTTCCTCTCGACAGTCAACAAATGCTTCAAGTCCTATTCATCCCGGGAACATCTCAACTAGCTCACTGGTCCACTGACCTGCTCTGCCTTCATTGGTTATATCTTAGCTATGGTCTCTTGGTAACATGGGATGCTCTCTGGTTTTGCTCTTTGTCTTGTAAGAATCAGGTTCCCTTGGTGTTTTGAATAGCTGTGAGGTTCTTGCAGGTTAGTTGCCTCTCATTAGAAGCTCTGTCTTCATTGGCTCCATGACAACTATATAGTTGTGATTTTTGCCATGCTTGTGTATTGCTTTGGACAAAAATAAAAAAAAAAGTAAAATGTAGAACCTTCTGCTCTTCTCCAGGCCTCCTTCCCAGGGAATCTTCACCTTGTTCTGGTGCTTCGACCAACCAGCTTCTTCCAGCGAACCGTCACGGACATTGGATTTCGCTTCAGTCAGGAGGACTTCATGTTGAAGATGCCGGTAATTTGGAAGGCGTCATGATCAAATTGGCCATTAGTTCGGCCAGAATTTTAGCACCAATATTAACTCTGAATCCTAGGCAAACAGCAGACCAAGAGGCTGATTAATAATCGGCCACTAGTGTGACTTCTTTTGAAAGTTTCACATTTGCTGAGTGTTTTGTAAAGTTCCTTAAGCATGGTCTGCTGTTTGGCTTGGGCAGCCCTAACCTTTCTCTCCTCCTCTCAGGTGGTGATGCTGAGTTCCGTTACAGACCTTCTGCATTACGTCGATGAGACCCAACTGACTCAAGAATTTGGTGGCTCGCTGGAGTATAGCCATGGGGACTGGCTCGTCTTGCGAAAGGTACTCTAGGAGTGCTAATCCTAGATGCCAGTTGACTGGCTATTTAGGAGAGTGCCCCCTACAGGCCAGAGTTTGAAAGTACCTTGTCATTCCACTAAGCTCCACATGACAGATACCAGCTTCTCCAGTAGCCCAATTCCCACTAAAGCTAAGTTAACCTCTAACACCAGTTCTGACTCTAACAGGGAGTATTGCAGTTCTAGTAACTTTGGAAGCAGCCTTATTAGGCCTCGTTCACATGGACGTCTGTACCAGGCTTTTTCTGGCGTTCGTGGCGCCAGGTGAGCACTGACTGAACGCCGACCGTTTTTCTGGTCATTGGAGCAAATCAAAGCGTCCACACGGGTGTTCAGCACCGGCGTTCAGCCGGCTACGCGTTCAGGTGGCGTCAAATAAACGCTACATACAACGTTTTCTTGGCGTCAAAATCCCGACGAACGCGAGGAAAACGACGCTATTGCGTTTACATGCCGTTCGGTTGGCGTTCTGGAGGACCGAATATGTCCCATGATTCTGTACGGCAACTATTATCTTAGATACGCGTAATACGTTTGCTTTTATTTCTGATTTAAAACACATGTTTCATGCGTCTTTGTCGTGCAAACGGGGCTGCGTCGCGCCATGCCGGTGCTCACGGCATGACAGGCTGGACCGCGGCACCGTACCTGCATAGCCGAGAACCGGGAGCGGGGAGCTGGTAGCAGGGAGTCGACGCTGCCCGGGATGGTCCCAGATGCGGGGCGATGTCACCGGCTGGTTAACTTTAACCGGGTTGTAATAAAGAATAGGGATCCACGTTTTCAATGCAGAACTATAAACCAAGAAGACCCACGTGTAAACACTCTGGACAGAGTAATTACTGCCCCCACAGGTAAATACACGAAACTACAGATTGGGCGTCAGGCTGGTGTTAACCAGCGTCAAGCGAACACCAGTGAAACGCCAATCGAACGCAGCTACAAAACGCAGGAAAAACACGTATGGCGTTCATTTCGAACATCCGTGTGGACGAGGCCTTACAGATCCTGCTTTGCAGATGTTTATTAATTGAGTTACATGTTAGATTCCTATTTTTTAACTACCCAATATAAAATCACTGTTCAGGCACTTCAGATGTTCTCGCAAATGTTCAGGTAATCATGATGGAAGCTGTTTCTGAGGTTTGTGGATGAGCTTCCACCACTCTCACCTTGGTGACGCTGTGTCTGCCCGCTTTTGCTTGGCTGCCCCCCACAGGCCATAGAAAATTTTGCGGTCACTGTGAAGGAGATAGCTCAGATGCTGCAGGCGTTTGGCACGGAGCTGGCTGAGACGGAGCTGCCAGATGAGGGCAAGTCCATTGAGCTCCTGCTCATGTGCCACACGGACAAGTACAGGAAGCTGAAGGTACAGTCGCTATGTTAGTTAGAGAGGGTGAATATTTGGTTCATCTGCACTGACTACAGTCAGAAAATACTTGTAGCCTCATCCTCCTTCTACCCACAAATTTCCTGTTATAAATGATTATACGACAGCGCTACTCAATTCTCAAATTTGATTGGTCAGCAGGGTGTTGATCGATTTTCTATAGCTGCACACAAAGTGCCAGCCAGGCAAATCTCAGTAGTAAATCAATACATTATTGTAATTTTTAATTCTGACTAACATTACTTAAAATTACAGTAGTTGAATGTAATTTAAAATTAAAGGAAGCTAAACGGAAATGTTAAATCATTGGTGCTATGCTATTACATGACATCACTGCCCATGTGACTGAACCTGGACCATCACATTGGTGAGCATTATGTTTGCCTGTGAGGCCTTCCTGACTGTGACTGCAGGGTGAGATACGTTCAGTGATAAGGGAGGCGCATCATCTGCTGTCCAACCTGGAGGCCTCAGGGTTGCAGGAGGATCTCCGTAATCGGTGGGGCTTGAGCCAGGACTGGGACACTGTGCAGAGGTATTAAAGACATAGACGCGCAGAAACACAGACAGGTTCAGCACATAAACATACAGAAACACAGAAAGATTCAGACACATAAACATACAGAAACACAGGCAGGTACAGACATAGGGACATACAGAAACACAGAGAGGTACAGACACATGGACATACAGAAACACAGAGAGGTACAGACACATGGACATACAGAAACACAGA